GGGGGGGGTTGGATATACACACATCTTGGAGGTCGAAGGTCTCTGTACATCGTGCTTTAGATACCGTCCATTCCACTCCGCCCCCAATACACGGCCCCTCGGGTTCTCTCATTCTCGTCGCATTTTCACTGGATCGCCATCACGCACATGCACACACAGTCAGTACACCTTTTACTCTCTCTCTCTCTCTCTCTTTCTCCTGACATTCACACACACTCTTCCTATCGTTCTTTCTCGCTCACTTTCTCGTTTTGTCTACTCTGCGTTACTCTTCCGATATTCTCTCACACTCTCTCTCTCTCTCGCTTTCTTTTTCCCCCTTTTTTTTAATCATTTACACTCGCGCGCGTTCATGTTTGTCGTTCTCATATTTAGCAACATTTAAATATCGTATTTTCCGTAATAATTAAACGTAATAATGATAATATATAATAATTATAATAATGGTATAATAAACTATCTACCTACGCGTGTAAGGTGTACCTTCTCGTGTTAAAGGTTTGCGTATCCTCCCTATCGTTACGAGTCCTAGACACTCTTTTTCCCGCCTTCGTATTTATATCTGTATACATATACGGATGTATATAAATGTATGTACATATACACGTAGCAAGAGGACAAACAATAGCGTCTTGTTTTGCAGCAATAATACACAGAAACACGTCTTCCTAGAACTTTATACAACACCGCCGTTGTGTGGAGTTAGTACTTTTGCTTGTTTTGTAGCTTATATATATATATATAATTCCCACAATCGTTTACCTATCGACACTAAGATATTTTAAAAATTTACTCGTTAAATATTAATCAAGTCGTTGTATGCTAGACGAATGTTGAGATCAAAGAAATTGCGGATTCCAGGATGCCAGTGATCTTTTCTTCTTTTTAATTCTTCTTCCCCCTCCGTTTCGCTCGTTCCTTCCTTCCCTCTTTCACAACGTGTCAAGATCATTCGTCGGTTAATTAGCTGACGATCGGCCGACGCAAGAATGGCGCGTAACGACGTTATTGTTCGATTCGAGAGCTGCTGCGCGATGTCGCACGTTTGTTAAGAATGAATAATATGGATCTCGTGGAAAGTTTCTCATATACGTATTCACGCGCTTGTGCAACGTCCGTCAAAAGTGATATTTCAGCGAAAAGGGGAGAAAAAAGAAACGGGAGCGACAGCAGTTTTCGAATCGTCAGTGACAGTGCGATTAAAACGCGGAACCTCGTCATTCGCGCGAACTGTCGTGAAATGATAGGAACTCGGCCCTGTCATCTCTGCGAATTCTGCGTGACTTAATTAGTTCTCTTTCCCTCCTTTCTTTCTTACCTTCTCTTTTATTTTTTTTTTTTACTTACGCATACACGAATACAATACAACGCGCATACTCAAACGTCCCACGTGATTCAACATTGGCACTTCGAAAGTCGTCACATCCTTTTTCTTTCCTTCTTTTTATTCCTCAAATGTTACTGCAAATAATTTTTATAATCATTTAGCGTCTCAGCATCTCGTTTACGCAATTACATTATCGCTGTCTTTTCGTTTTATCGTCCGACATAGACGGTTTGTATACGCTTTGACAAAAATAACATATTCATCTTATTAGTATTTTTCCCGTCCGTTACACGCCGGGTAGTCATTAGGTTACGACAACAATGAAACGTTCAATTCAAACGGTGTTGTTCAACGGAGTGTCTCACCGTTACATCACGGAAAGTTGTAATATCGGACAAGTTGATTTTTTTTTCTCTTACTTTTTTTTTCTTTGTTCTGATGCCTTACACACTCGCAGTGACATACAAAATTTGCAGCACACCCCGTCGCTTACATAACCGATACATACGTCGCCACAGTAACACAATGCATCTTTGCGAGAACGTCGTTCTACGAACAATACGAAATGTCTACTTAAACATATACATAAAAAAAAGAAGAAGAAATGCGAGAAAGGTTTGTTTCTTCCATTGTCGTCGAACCGATTTAATTAGGCAGTGTTTTATATTCTTTACGCCCTTGTCGCGTGAAACATAGAAGACATGAACGCGAATACGTATCGGCTATCTCTAGCCGGGGTTTTGATCGAAATACCGAAAAGCACCAGATCATCAGAGCAGACGATTAAACGGATCCGCAGTTATCGCTGATCCAGGCTATAATAATTTATAGTCACACCTAATTGCACAAAGGTACTTCTAGAATAAACCTCGCCCCCCCTTTTCGCTCCCTTTTCCTCTCTGGTAGTTGCTAGCAAAAATTATTACATAATATTTCAATTATCTACATTTATATAATATAGACAAGTGTACATGTGTGTATGTGTACGTGTGTTTGAATGAGTGTAATGTATTGGATACAGGCACGATATAATTAATTACAAATAATGTATACGATCCAAAGTTCTTCTGGTATCACAATAGTAATGGACGCGGCGTTTTTTTTTTTACCTATGCGCGATCCGAGCTACAATTTTCTTTTCACTCGTAGTATAGAGCTCATCGGACTTCATCGTCCGCGGGCACCTTCTTTTCTCGGGGAAAAAACGGGAGAGCAGAAAAGAATTGTATATAAGGAAATTCGAATGAAACAACATATAAACTAATGTTCATTGGCTCAGCCAACATTGCAAAGCAAATCCTCCGATTAAAATCATTAAACTCTTCACAAATATCACAACAAATTCACGCACCTCCGCAACGCTCTTCCTGCGGCGAGGGCGATCTTCTTCTGCAGATTCCTTCGGTTACGCCAGCCTCGCTGTGTTCCGGGAGCGCTGGAACTGCGATCACTCTCGTACGGACGACGAGATCCAATCAAGGATTATCAATCGGTCTTACGACCGCGCGGGGAAGACCTAGGGCTAAGTCTCCTCTTTTATTTTCGTCTCATTGTTAACCTTGGCGAGTTTGGCGAGAGTCTCCTCCTTAACATTGGTTAGAACAGTCAGAGAGTCCTTCACGGCGTGGTAAATGATGTTCTTGATCTGTAGCTTGTCCTCGTGATTGGTGTGGGTGTCGGATAGTGCACGGAACTCCTGGGTCAGGTGGAAGCAATGTGAAACGTTCTCCGGCGATACGAAATCCTCGGCCACCTTTATACAATTTTGGAGATTGCGGACCTGATGTGGCGCGCCAGCTGGCACGAATACCGCGTCGCCTAGACACTGGACGATAGCGTATCTGCGATAAGATGTTAAAATATTATTTTAATAAAATTCTGCTGCAAGCGACGCGTTCTCTCTTCCAACGAAGAAGTTCTTTGAGAAACTTTTTTTTCAATTTGAGAGCATGTAATTTTTTAAAAGGCAACTCACCCTTCGACACCATATTCTCGATACAATCGTTCGCGCAATGGTCCATCCAAGTAACAACTCTGATCGTGTATGGGATCGTGATGTGGTTCCAAACGAGCTCCGCGTTCTAAGGCAACGGCATTCAGAAGATCTCGAATTTTGTCCGCGTCACGCGCCGCGTAAATGTGCCACAGAGCACCGGGCTTCTCCTTCTCATCGCGAGCGCGTCGACGCGTCAGAATATCACAGCCTGCTTCGTCTATCGCTCTCATCGTCTCTGCCCTAGCTGTAAATGCGTAAACGTTACAGTTCGATTAATTATCGAAGAATCAATTATTATGTCGACAAGAACATTAGTGACGCAAATGAATAATACAATTCCGCGTCAAGATCAAAATCACATGAATACGTACCTTTGAGACTTTCGTCGTTATTAACATCCTTTGGCATTCCTACGTACACCATAACGTTCACGGCGTCCGAGATATCAAGATGAAGATTAGTCGTGCCTTTGTTGGAATGAAGAGCAGAACCGTAGGCGTTGTACATCTTCGGGCCCAGATCTGGTCTCACGAAGCAATTAGGCAGTCGACTCGCCAAATTTAATCTGCCGTTTCTATGCGTGTACTCGGACAATGGAAGAACCTTCATCAGATCCGTGTATCTCGACGGTAGCAACTCGGCGAAGTCTTCGCCGGGCGGCCAATCCTTCAGTTTCAGCAGCATGGGATTTCCCCGCTCGTCCTTGAGCCGCTTGGAATAGTACTCGAAGCCCTCCCAGAACTTGCGCATCGGCTGATTCGGCACCAGATTGCCGGTCATGCAGTTAACAAGATCGTTCTTCTCATCGCCGAAATCGCGGGCGAACGAATCGGGATGCCAGAGATTCATGTCCAGCGCCTTGGCGACGTCCGACACGATCACCGGCTGCCCCCGCTTCCACTGGTCCTGGAATATTCTGTAGTTGTTCGGATTATTCGGGTCGATTAATCTCAGCAGCTTGCCGTCGCAGAGCCAGGAGTGCGGTACGTCCGGATAAAGACTCTGGCTCTCCGTCCCCGTCATAATTCTGATTGGTAGCGGCTCGCGACCGCGCTGCATCCACTTGTACCGTCGCACGAAGTGCTTCAATTCCCGCGGCTTTTCGTCGTCCAGGCCGCTGTCCTTCTCCTTCTTCACGCTGTGCTCGATCACGCTGGATATTACCTCGTCGAGCGTGTCCATCTTCGACTTCTTGCCGGACTTGGCGACGTTGTTCTGCGCGGCGTTGTTCACGGCGCCGCCCGAATTGTTCGTGGGCGAATTCGATCTGGATCCGCCGCTACCGTTCGACTTGTGCGACGGCCTTATGAGCAATTCCCGCAACGTGGAGTAATTACCCTCGCGATCGTCGTCCGAATCCGAGCTCGAGCCGCTCTCGTTCTTGTCCTGATTCTGCAGCGCCACATCCGCCAGCCAGTTTAGAGGCGAGTTTTTGTCCTCGCCGTTGGTCTTGCTCTCCGACGCGCCGTTAGATTCGTTTACCTTCTTCTCCTCTTTTATCTCCTGCTTCACATTTCCATTGAGAACCGGCACGGAGTCGCCCTTGATCAGATTTCGAAGAATCTCGTTTGGCTGCGACACGGCTACGAGGGAACACGCGCAGTGCTGCGGGATTCCCCATTCCGTACGGCACTCGTGCAGACGCTGACCCAGTCGCAGAAGACCGTCGCCGGCGATGATCTGCGTGAGCATGAGTCGCTCCGGTTCGTGCACTTGCCTGTTCGTGCAAAGAAGCCACGAAAAGTCGTCCCTGTCCTTTCCGCTCTCGCCCCAGATTTTCACCGTTCCATTTTTACGTCCCTAAATATTAATACGCGACTATTTAATAAACTATCTCGTTTAAAAGAGGAAGAAACAATGACAAACTATATTAATGTCAGTGTTAAAAAGCTCAAAATGTTAAAATAATATATCATGTGATATCAATTAAATTTTTGTCATCATGTAATTCCTAGCGTTTAAATGAAAAAAATATATATATAAAAAGAAATATATATACATATATATTTAACTTACCTTGTAACAATCAATGCACACGACAAAGCCGCATTTGCCACAGGCCCAATGATAATTGAACAGAGTAGTCTCGCACACGTCGCACATTTCTCGAACACCCTGGATCACTCGTTTCCACGCTACTGTTCCGTCTACAACCCCCGAACTCGCTGTCAAAAGGTAATCATAATCGACGCGCAAAGCGTTAAAACATGCGAACAAAAGAAATTATGCAAGCGAAATCATGCAGCCTGATATTTAAACGAGTTGTAATTTTGCAAAATAATAAATTGAATTAAATACAAGAAAAATCAGTGCAAATAATACATAAAAAATAGGTGTATTGAAGATAATTTAACATTGATGATAATATTAATTTTAACATAAGTTAATACATGCATCACATTTATTTTAATGATATTTGTGTATTTTAATTACATGTGTGCGTTGATTGATACGAACAATAATGGTGGATCAGTTTGAAAAAAATATATTGTAAAAAAAGAACAAAATGTTACCTTCGGCCATATGTTCTTGGAGGGCGTCCTTCTCTTGATGTAAAAGATCACAGAATTGATCGCCAACTTGCCGAAGCAACCGATGAGCCGTTTCTAAGTCTAGGTCCTCTCGGTCTCCTTTGTCCTTTTCATTTTTCTCCGATTTGTCATCCTTTCCTGTTGTCTCTTGATTATCTTTTCCTGGTAACCATAATCGAAGGTCATCCTGTAACATTGTAACGATAGTTCTCGCGTGAGAGCATGCATCTCGAATCAAAAATTGTAAGACTCTATTCGTCTCATTTTTAACTGTGTCTCAATTTAACTGTAATCGCTACTGCAACGTGCAACAAGTGAAATGGCATCGATCATCTCGATCTTCGTAAAATTTACCTCGGACGCGTCCTTGTGTGGGTCACTGAATCCCGCTATGGCCAATTGTCCGTTTTTGGTATAACGCAGTCTGCGAAACGCGTAGAATCTGCAGAAGATATTCTGAGGAAGGTTCTTGGATCGCTGATGCGGCGTCCATCGGCACTCGCGGCACTTGGCCAACTTCGGAGCCACCTCGAAACAGGCGCCGTCCTGCAGCCAGCTCTCGCCAGTTTTCTTCAGTTGCGATATCGGCGGCTTACGAAAGGGATCGCCCCGTCCGCCGCTCCCGCCTGGGCCGTTGTTACCACCACTCGTACTGTCGTCCCTGCGTTCCTTCTTCTGACGGGGTTGTTGATCCTCGCCTCCCACTTCATTGCTCTTCGTAGTCTTTGGTCTCCTACCACGTTTCCTAGGTTCCTTGTTGTTTCCTGCATAACAGATCATGTACCTCGCTTCATCAAGAAGTCTGTTGTCGCACTAATTTTTGTGCATAATTTTAATGTTAGATCCATTCAGTGTTAAAAAGCTCATAATAATAACGTATCACAGTATTATCAACTTATTTTATATTCATATGTCATCATTTATATGATATCTTAAAAGTATAATGTATGTGCAACTCAGTGTAATGACATAATCAGGGAACAGGGTAAGTGCGTGAGATCGAATTAATGAAATTTGAAAGAAGGTAGCGAACTCGAAAAAAACATCCAAGTAACCACGGGTCTCTAAAAGTCTTTCCTTTTCCTTCTTTCAGAAAATGGAATTCCGCGAGAATTGTAAATGGCGATTGAATCTGCTTTGTCAATCACTTTTTGATTCTCTCGAGTTCTCGTACAATCTCTTAAGCGAGGGAATAAAGTCGTACGATCATGGAACACGGACCACTTACCCTGCAAGTGAATAGTTAGTTCACCTGATGGCAAGTCCATTTACAAGAAGCTACGTCAACTAACCGTTTCCCGAGGAATTGTTGGAATTGGCCGTGGTGTGTCGAACCCTCGACGCAGGCTGAATAGAGCTCAACTGTTCGCTGGTGTCGCTGGCTGAGCCCGCCTCGCTCTCGTTGCTGGACTCGCTGCCCGCGCCGCCGCCCTGCTTATCCTCCTTCCTCCTCCGCTGATCTTCCGCGGCCGTTTGTTGCCTCCGTGCGGCGCCCTTCTTTCGTTTTACCTACCACAGGGCACAGATTATTAAGTAGTCAGGAAGTTCATGCTCTTGCCGCATCTACCAGCCGAAGCTACTAAAAAAACTGCCCACACTACTGCTTCAGCGCTACCATTTGGCACATCAAGGTTTAAAAAGGTCTATCTAAACCTAAGCAAAGTCAAGAATTACGTCACGCATAATAATATCTAGACAGTTCTATCACATACACACACCCACACTATTGCATTCACGCTACCTCTTACTTTATTCGCACGAATTGATTCGCACTTTCCCCTCAATTTTGATTCTCGAACGTTTATGGGGTTTTTACAGCGTCTTTAGATTGAATAATAAATAAAAGAGCAATCTTTTCGCCCAAATTCCTTTACTACTCCAAAATCTAGCAGAGAATAATCAGTTCCAACGAACGTCCGAAGTCGCCGCGTACCAAGCGCAATACAATTACAACATTTCTCGGAGCATGATGCAACATTCCGTTCGAGGTCGTCAATAGCGGTCTACCGTTTCGATTTGAGCTCGATTCAATCGCGGAATCTCCGGTAAAATCAAAACTACTGTACGAGCAATCTCCGATCATCTCGCGCAATTGGAGGTTAGGTCGCGATTATGACGGAAATTCCTGGCAACGGTGATATTTACCCCTTTGCGAGTTTCGTCCATGGCGAGAATCCTGTCACTCATCACCGATGTGCAAAAGCTCGTCGCGAAATTCCGCTCGGTGACCGGTCAATTAATTGCTAACAAAGGTACGTGACGAAACACTTGTTACTCGTGCGACATCCGCTACCCGTGATTCATGTTGCACGGCGCACGCCTCTACGTAGGAAAATGGCGTCATTTGCGCGACATTTAAAACTCAGCTTACTGAACGGTAACCCAGAAACGTCCGTTGAGGAGGAGAGATAAGCAACGTTTCGACTTCGAAATAGTCTGTTTTCTCAGAAATCAAACGCGTAGAATTCAAACGTACTATGTTCATACAATTCAAAATAAATATTTATGCAGAACGAATTTATACTTTCGGCGGTTTAATTTTTAAAAACAATACCCAGGCTTTTCTCCCGAAATCGCATTGATATATTAATTGATAGATAATGTTAAAAATTTTATCGTATGTATATTTCTATTAGTTAAATATTTAATTAATAGATTGTAAATAATATTAATTTTAACATCAAAATAAAAAGGGCATATCCGGTGCAAAGATAAGATTTTAATCGCAAATTTAATCGCGATAATATTACGATAATAACGATAGTAATGTAAGAAAAAAGATGAGTACTCGAACTCAATTACTGTTTTTTTTTTCAGAATATAAAATATATATTTTTTTAATTAAATATTCTCAGTCATGAGTTTTTCTTTCTATGACAGTTGCAAATTAAGAACTACGGCATAGCAAACAAAACTACTGCATATTCATGCTTTTGAGTTCTACAGATTACGAAATTTATTGCCTGAAGGCACGATACCAATAACGAACTTCATCACTTCCAGTGACTATACATATAATTAAACGAGTGACTAATGCTAGAGTTTTTAGTAAACTTAATGCTCGCGATTTATTCAAATAGTCGTTTATGAATAATTTATTCACTGACCATAAGATATAAAAATGATATCAAAACAACGAATGTCAATATGTTTAAAATATATTATTTATGATTATCAAAAGAATATAAAACAATTCGATAATTAACGTCATAAAAATTGTTTTATAACATATTAAAAAAATACAAATTTAGATTAACTTTGCATCCAACGTACAATTGCAGATATTTTTGCAATTTTATTTCAAGAATTTCAATCAATCGATCGTAAGATCTAGTATTATTTTTCATGCCTATTATTATTAAATACTCTTGTATAAAATTATATTATTCAATAAAGAAAACCAGTCTTTAGGAAGAAACTAGATAGTACAAGCGAGTACTAAACTACCAGCACAACATACGCACTCCAAATTGCAAACAGTACCTTCCAGCGAAAACAAGGCTACCGTAAGCGATCTGTATAGATAGATACCTTGGGTGGCTTCCGTTTTGGCGGCGACTTCCTCTCCGGGTCGCTGCTAGACGAGTCCTCCTGCGGGGTTTTGCTGGTATCGGTGGCGTGACCGTTGAGCGACTCCTTGTTCGCCGGTTTCCGGCCGCTCTTGCCGGTAACTTTGCTCTTGTTGATGCTGTTCACTGCCATGCTGCCGATATTGTGGATCGAATTGACCGCGCTGGGCAAACAGGTGGTCGGCGCGTTGCTGTTGTTCGCGTTCGACGACGCGTTGCTGCTGTCGCGGTCCTTGCTGTTCGAGGACGGTGTCTCGCGGGGGATGTTGAGAGGTAACGTGACGCTGCTGGCCATGCTGGTGGTGTTCTCGGTGCCGTCTTCGCAACGCGAGTGTCTCTGCAGCCACTTCTTCTTCAATTTGTGCACTGGATAGCTGGTGCTGCTTGGTGGTCTCGGTGCCGGACTGTTGCACTCGCTGTCCGCGTTGCTGGGGTTCGTCTTAGCGGGCGTACTTGGCGCACTGGGCGCCGGACTGGGTGCCGTGGACGGCGCCGGGCTGGGGATGGGCGCCGGACTTGGTGCCGCGCTCAACGGCGCCGGATTCAGGGAGCATACGCTGCCGGTGCTGGCGGGTCGTACGGAGCTGTCGCCGCTGGCGATCCCCGGTGCCGGACTAACCACCGTCACCGTGCGCTGCTCCTGCGTCACCTGACTGTTCGGCTGCGCCAGCAATGCCGCAGTGTTGACAACTGTCGTGATGGACGTGGCGGCCGAGGCGATAAGCGGGCTTGGCTCGCTTACCCTGGAGAGAACGGGCGGGCCGACGGATTGCAAGGATAACGGCTGCGGTTCCTCGGTCCTTCGCTTCTTACAAACCTCTAAGGACACCGGCTGACCGCTGGCATTGTCACACAACAACGGCGTCGGTGCTTTCCTCTTGGGCGAGCCCGACCTCTCCACCCCGAGATCGAGCGGTTGCGTCTGGAAGGCCGTGGTGATATGGGACTGCGCGTGCTGCAACGTCTGGCCGGGTTGCTGGTGCGGGCTGGTATTGAGATGCGCGGGATGAGCTGGATGAGCGGGATGAGCGATCGGCCTGGAGAGCGGCGCCGAGGCGGCCGTAGGCGGCGAGCCGTGCAACGTCGGCGGCGGCAGTTTCGCGCCCGGCAACGAGCCGGCGAAGCCGCGGCTGTCGTAGACGGACCGGCTGTGCGCGGGCGGCGGCAACGGCGGCGGCGGCGCCCCGTGATGATGAGGCACTTGCTGGTAAGGCGAGCTACCGGTCTTCGAGGTCAGTGGCATCGGCGCGGTGACAGGCGTTTCGGAGGCACGGCAGACCGGCGTGCCGGTTATAATGCCGCAGTTAGGCTTACCGTACATGTGCGGCGGCGCCGGGCTGCTGACTTTCGGCTTGGAGCCGGCCGGCGGCGGCGCGGCGTAGTGCGACGACGTCGTCGGCGAGGCCGTGGGCGGATGCGGATGCGTGTACGGATGCGTGTACGTGGACTTGCCCGTGTACGGCAGACCCGCGGAGTCCGGCCTGCTGAGATAGCGCGTTTCAGGCGGCGATGGATGTGGCGGTGGCGGCGGCTGGTGCGGATGCTGCGGCGGGGCATGCGGGGATTGGCGGGGGTTGTGCGAGTGCAGGCGCGGTTCGGGCTGCGCCTGCGGCGGTGGCGGTGGATGGCCGTGCGGACTCGGCAGTTGCGTCGTCGTCGTTGTCGGCGCGCCACCACCGCCACCGCTGCCGCCGCCGCCGCCGCCACCACCGCCGCCGCCGCCGCCACGGTGGTGACTCGCGGACGTCGCGATGCTCTTTGCCTGCAGACTGTCTAGATGCGCGGGATGCAGGTGATGCGGGCTCTGCGTCGGGCTTCTGTATTCGTACGCCGACGACTTGTGCTGCGGCGGCACCGACTGGACGTTCATGTAAGGCATTATCTTCGGGCTGGACGAGTGCTGTTGCGGCACCGGCGTCTTCGGCAGCTCCCTGCCCTCGTTTTTCACGATCACCGAGCTCTTGTGATCCGACATCAGGGACGGCGGATTCTGCAGCACCTCTCTGCCATGATGGTCCCTCTCGAGGCCGCCGGCCAACCCGCTCTTGCTCGATAGCGACTTGTGCGGCCCCATCTCGTTCTTTAGCTTGAGCTCGTGCAGATACGACGTGCAGGATGGCTGCGGGTTATACGTCGCCGAGTAATTCACGCCGAACAGATTCACGTTCGGCTCGGCTTTCGGTAGCGAGCTGTGCGTCGGTACCACCGACGGTTTCTCGTGCAGACCGACCTGTAACGACGATTTCGACGTTCGCGAGTGTGCCGGTGGCGGGTACTCGACTTTCCCGGGCATGTTCAAAGGTCGAACCTGAAACAACGTGTTACGTGTCATAAAACGATTCGCCGGGTCGTAAATCGTTCGTCGCAAATTAATGTGTTCAATTTTAACTTTCCATTTCTACTAAAATAATAATTAATGAAGGGCTCGAGATACACGAGTGATATATAAATACACGATCTTCCTGTATTTCTCGCCCATTCAAGCGATACTCATCGTCGCCCTGATTTAGACAATTCCAATGTTTTTCTCGGCTATCTCGCGCGGAGATCGCCGAGGAATACTGCGTACCTGTTGAGCCGGCGGCGCCGCTGCTGCGTAGTAGGCCCTCTGCGCGGCGTGATCCCTGGCCTCGACCTGCCGTTGGTGCAGCCTCTCAGCCGCCACCATATGCTCCCGCTCACGGAAGTCCCGCTCCCGCTCCCGCTCCCGTTCCCGCTCGCGTTCCCGAACCTCCCGTTCCTGCTCGCGTTGCTGCTGCTGCGCGACGGTGGGATGCGCGGCGGCGGCGGCAGCGGCGGCGGCGGCGGCGGCGGCTGTGGCGGACCCGCCCGGTGGACCGCTGGGATGACCGTGGTGGCTGGCGGCGGGGTGACCCGTCAACGCCCCGTGCGTCCTCGGCGGCGGTACCTGCGGCATGAAGGCGCTCCAACCAGCCATCGAGGCCGACTGCATGTTCCTCTGCGGGACATAAGACACCTACTTCAATCAATACTGCCAATCACTTTCGTCGCTTATCGCTTAACGATTCATCGGAGATACGTTCGCGCGCGACGAGCGCTATTTTATCTCTCGCGTTTTATCTCAACGATACGGTCTCTACGAAATTCGCTCTCCGAAAATTGGAAAGGTATTGCGCAAAAAGTTTGATCAAGATTGATAGCGTTAATCCTCTTTTTTTTTTTTAAATAAAAATGTCAGTTTATTGGAGATTCTACAGGCACAGATTAAAAGATCACGATTTTACGATTACAACTTCTCTCTATATACGAATGCATACATATTTATAATGCTATTAGATTCGCAATTTATTTTTGAGGCGGATTGGAACGCGCGGAATTAGCACAGCTGCGATCTTCGGGTAAGAATTTAACTTAAAATACGATGATTCACAGTGTTTACAAAAAGAAGCTCGGAATATAAATTTTACGTTTATGCATTTCGCGCGTCCTCCGCACGCGTTCCAAAGTCAATGTTTATCGCTACATTCTGTTGTTATGCAGATACCGCAGTCCAGACGGCGCGTCATTCAATTGTCGGGCAAATAACGAGCAAACACAGATGGTGCGCAGCGGTGTCACGCGCGTGTGCAATAATTATTGTCCATTACGTTCCTGCCGAGGTAGAAGCACGCGGCGCGATTAAAAGAAAAAAAACACCCGTCACGAATACGATTTTAGCGTCGTCCCGACGACGTACGTGATCGCCGATCCCGATCGCGATTCGCGGTAACTCGTGCCACCTGACAAGGTGACATCCGATGGAAAATCACTCATTTGCGCGCGATCTCCCCGAGATAACACGTGCCGTTCGCGTGATAATGCTCCCAATTCGCCAACGAGAGTTCTCGCTGGTGCGCGCGGAGACGCTCGCGCAACTTGCCCGGGGATTTTCCGCGTGTATCATCGGGTCACTCGATTCCCGTGCGAGTAAAAACTTTTTCTCGCCTCAATGTCGCGTGTCGTAACGTCCCGCACGTGGATCAGAATCGCGGAGTTTCACGCTATACCGTTTAAGTAGTGCCGCGACATAAGGGAGCAACCGCAGCTCGAAAGGGCGTAACGATGAAAAATTCAATTTTTTTACGTTTCTAACTCGACATGCAACCTCGACATCTCCATGTGGCGAGCACGGAATTAATTCATTCGTGAAATTCGAATGCCGTTTCGTGACAGGAAATCCGAGATGCGTGTGAGAGAGAGAGAGAGAGAGAGAGAGAGAGAGAGAGAGAGAGAGAGAGAGGCGTGCGCGCGCGCT